TACTCATTTGATGTTTGAGGTAGGTTGCTAAGCCTTTTATAATTTCGCAAGTGGAGGATATGAAATAAAATAATATTCTTTTTTAGGTTTTATGTATACAGTTGAATAACCATAAAATCATAAATTACTCTATCGATGTCATAGAATTCCACTATAATTTATCAAGCTTAGTAAATAAGCTGTATTTTGGACAAGTGGTTAGGATGCTGAGAGTCGCGGGTTCAAATCCCCGTCCCACCAAACATACTCGCCCTTTCAGCCGTGGGGGCGTTATAATGTGACGGTCAATCCCACTATTCATTGATAAAAGAGTATCCCAAGAGTGATCAATTGGTGGTGATGACAAGCTTCCTTACCTCTGGTATTACAATGTTAAATTAGGAACAGCTAGTGCAGTTACCCCTCGTGAATTCCAAACAAAGCCGTATTTCGGTCTAAAAAAATATGAAATTTGGAGCAGACTAAATACACAATCTACCTGGCTTGAAATCTTGATTTGAAAGAATGAGAGGGCCTCCCAACATTTTAAAATGGCTGAGAAAACTACTAGAAGTTGAACTATTCTAAACTATTAATTGGTTATTCACATGTCATATATTGAAGAAAGTGTATATAAGGGACAGTTTCCAAAAATCACAAACATCTAATTTGAAGCAGTGCTGCATTCAACATACCACGAGACACATAAAGATCGATGTTAAACTTTGTATTTTAAACATTTACTTCTAAATTAAGAAATTGAATACTAAAATTAGAATGATAATCTACAGTTTGATAGCAAACTTATTTTCTAGGTTTTATGTATACAGTTGAATAATCAAATACTCATAAATTACAATGAATTACAAAATAAACACGTGTGCACGCATGTACGAAAATAGGCACCTGCTTGCAAATGTAACAAAATAAGCCCTTAGAACACATTTACGCACATGCTCATGCATGTTACACAAATAAACACCTGTGTGTACATGTACTGAGTGGTGTTACTTGTTGACTGGCATTCGAAATTTTTGAGCTACTATTTCACGAATTTATGTCAGTAAGTTTGGTATCAAACTATAGATACGAATTTCATTAATCAATTTCTTAATTCAAAAGCAAATATTAAAAACACAGTTAAACTTCGATTTTTGTGTGTGTGTCACGTATACCACGTTAAATGCAGCACTGCATCAAATGAGTTGTTTGTGATGTCAAAATAGTAAGTCTATAGTTTTATATGAATTAGGAACTCAAATTACCGATATTGACAAGCTATGATATAAAATACAAACCTCATATCTTTACTTTTTGCTGAGATATCGCACATGTACTGAATCAAACACAGTGGCCTAGCTCACTTCTTTCTATTTTCGGAAACGGATCCTTATATACTTTCTTCAATATATGACATGTGAATAACCAATTGACAGCTCAGAATGTCTCCCTAGCCATAACAAAATGTTGGGAAGCCCTCTCATTATTTAGAACCAAGATTTCATGCAAGTAGTTTATGTATTTAGTCTGCTCCAAATTTCGTATTTTTTAGAGCAAAATACAGCTTTGTTTGGAATTGTGCACAAATCTACATGAGAGTTATCTGCACTAGCCGTTTCTAATCTAACATTGTAATACTAGAGGTAAGAAAGCTTGCCATCACCACCCACCCTTGGGATATTCATTTACCAACAAATAGTGCCATCACCCATTCTTAGGATACTTTTTTACCAACAAATAGCAGAATTAACTATCACATTATAACGTGTAGTCCATCTGACATGTTTCAATTCAGGAATTTAATTGGAGGATTTTCTGCTGGAATAATGCTGGAAAACCTCGGGATGTCCCTGTCTACTACAATCCTTGCTTTTGTTTTCATCGGCTTGGTAAGATTTCTTTTTTCTCATAAAGAAATCTATAATAATCTAATACCAACAAAATATACTTCAAAGAAAACACACAATATGATGCCAGTATACATACGTATATATGTTAACATACAGATGTGGGATGAAAAAGATATTTTTACACTTAATTCAACAGCGAACGCAGCTCAGATAACCCATTGTTTAGCATTGTACTAAAACAAATGACTAAAAAAGTACTTGTAATATTAGCCATTTTCACTGATACGGTTGTAAAGAAACACTTTAGAGATAAGCACGGATTGATTTGTAATGATTAAAGTTAGGAAATAAATAAAACTTCCAAAATTTAATAATTATTTCTTCTTCACATCACAGGTTTTTGATCAATATTTCTTTTACTTTTCAAGTTTTGCATTTATGTTTATTTGCTAGTTTATCTCAGATTTTTATGTTCTAGTCATAATTATCTGTTTTGATATTAATATATCCATAATATTCACTAAATCAGTGATAGATCTGTTGTGATTATAGAGCCACGATTTTTAGCGTTATAAACCCTCAAGCTAACCGCTGAGCCACCGGGGATAAAAAAACTTAATTCATAAATCTTTAAAATGTATTTGAGACAGTTAAAAGCAAGAAAATGGTAACGAAACTAAATTACATAGTTATCCCACAAAATGTACTGTAAATAAATATATATATATATATTAAATAGAAGTTACTGGATTTAAAGGTTTAATTTTAAATCAATTCTACATCAAACTACCACATTTGTACAGCTATTCATACTTACCCAAGAGGAATGCAAAAAGAAATAACAGAAGAGACGAGACTATATGTTCTGAAGTCTTCTGAAAATCTTCCTTTCTGTCTAAAATAATCAAGAGAGAAGTTGCAATTCTTACACTAACAGTGGTTACGTTTAAACATATTTTATTAGCCAAGTATCACAACTCTAGATTGAAGAAGAATCGACCAATTATGACACTCTGGAAAGGTAACTTGCCTGACTATACTTTTTATTAAAGAGATCTAAAGGGTTATTTTTAATTTACTATTTTCAAAGATATAATGGCATTGATTTACTCAAGATGTTATTTACTTGTTTTACACATTGTTCATTGACCTCAGGACAAACTTGTTATTTTTGTTATAAATTTAGGTATGCTTGTGACGGATGTATCGTAATGATGATTATCATGAATCTACTTTATTTCCACACTAATAAATAATCCTTATATTAAGTTCTCTACCGCCAGGGTGCGGATTAGCCTTGTGGTAGAGCTAGTGAGCCGAGTTCGATTCTTTATGATATCACAAAATAATTTCTGCATTTTGGGTTGTGGGGGGAATTATAAGAGTGATATTCAAACCCCTTAGCGTAGATGGTGAGTGGTAAAGTGCTGCTAACTAATTCAAAATTAGAAATGGTGGCTAATAGTATTAATAGATTTGCCATAAACATAAAATACAAATACTCTCTTACCAAAAATAAGTTGAACTATTACACAGAGAATTATAATTGATAATAACCGTTCAACGAATTGGGTTAAAATTATTTTATTAAATTCTATGTAATAAATTTACAACGTTAACATTCTCTGAAATGTTATATATATCTCTTATGATGATACGCAATGTAGCTTTAAATCATTTTATTTTACATTTATTATCTTCACTGATTTAAATAAGCGTTTTCAGCTAGAAAAAAAATTAAGTGTTCATGAAATGTTTAATGCAGTTACCTTCATGACTATCTTATGCAAACGAATTTAGTAGGTTATGAAATGTAGCATTATACGTACACAGATCTCGATACGTTTCTCCGTACATCTGGACTTATATAGAGGGAGTCTGAAATGAAAATCTATGAGCGAGAATAGTTATAGAGGTAATTAACTAAATTTACCTGGCAACCTCAAATTTGCTGAATAGAAACAGAAGATGAAACAACCTGCCTGTTATACCGCAGACAGGCTTAATAGGAATGAAGGGTCAGAGGACTTAGCTGGTAAACCGAAGACATGTTGAATAAGAACAGGAGATGAAGGAGTCCTACTTGGTATATTGCAGAAAATAGAATATGAACAGAGGATGAGATGACATCCCTAGCAGATCGCAAACATGTTGAATAAGCACAGTAGGTATCAGGACGTACCTGACAGATCGCAGACATGCTGTATAAGTACAGAAGATGAAACAGTCTACAGCAGAAGACTGTCTAGGAACTGTGAATTAACTTACTTTGAAGACCGCGTACACGCTCATTATAAACAGGAGTTAAGAACATCTTTCTGGCAGATCACAGGCAAACTCAATAGGAACAGAAGATAAAAGGACTTACGTGGCAGACAGAAGATAAGAGCACCTACGTGGCAGACTCATTAGGAACAGGAGAATAAAGGACCTACTTGGCAGACTGCAGACAGACTCAGTAGGAACAGAAAATAATAGGACTTACCTGAATATAAAAAAAGAGGTTCGAAGGCCTACCTGGAAGATCACAAAACACACTGAATAACCAGAGGCGATGAGGACTTATCTGGAAAATCATAGTCATACTGAATAGGAACAGGAAATAAGAGGATGTACCTGGCAAATCGCAGACACGCTGAATAAGAACAGGAAATGAGAGGACCTGCCCCTAGTCCCTTCAGCAACAAACCAGCGGTTACCAACCACACACAACTGTTGAATAAATATTTTTCAATGCATTAAATAAATTTTAGAACAGTTATTTCCATTAAAATATATTATAGTATCTATACTATCGTGATAACTGCAATAACAATTATTTTGCTTAATATAGGCCAGTAATATCATTGTACTAAAATTTAGTTTTTAATGCAAATGAAAAGATTATATCATTATAATACATGCACTTAAATAACAAGCTGCTTATTATCTATAACTCAACACCATAAAATACCGTAATATGGATTACGATAAGTTTTGTTTGAATAGTCAGAACCTTAAAACTGTAATACATGCACTGCAATAACAGTTTGTTTATGTACTAAAAATCTGTTATCTTATAACACTGGAATGCGTTATAATGACAACGATTCATTTCGTAGTTTGTCTTGAGCAGTATTTAAAATTAATAAGATGAAACAAAAAACTAGACCACTAGCATGGATAATATAAAATAGAACATATATATATATAATAAATCAGATTATATGTGTAAATTAAAAACTTGTAAATCTAAGTCAAGTGTATACTGAACTGACGATAAATTTTAACCTACAGTGTCTTGAACGAAGTTAATTATCAACATAATCATCTTAATATGAAAATTAAAAAGGACCTGTATATGATGAACTGTAAAAATTTAAGATGCTAAAAATCTAGAAACTACTCAAAAAATTAAAAGACAAGATTGTGTTGTCAAAATGTTCTACAGCCAGATGCACAACACAGCTAAAATAGGTATTGCCAGTTTCATTTACAATAAATGTCGAGTTACAAACAGGTTAGAGTTAAGGTTTGACTAGTCAACCTATATGAAAGAATCACATTTGGTAAAAAGTGTATTCGTTGGTGATTATGAGCCCTTTTGATATTGATACAGTCCCTGCATGTTAAGGATATGATTCTGATCAATAGATGGACGACGTTTTGTCCCGTCAGTACAACATCAAGCTTAGGATAAGGCATACAAGTCCAAGGATTTACTATGTGATTCAGACCAAAACTTCTTGCTGGTCAATTGATGATCCTAATGGTTTCTTGTTTAAGGTAGTCCATAACAGTCCTGGCAGTATGAAAATTAATATTACTCTGTATCAGTTTGACCGAAAAAGGTCGAGCAGTAAATCTGACCTTCGGAATCTCGATAATCTCTTTATTTCACCATAATGAACTAGTACCAAAAACTGTGATATTCAATGATGTTGCACCGAGCATATCCCCCACTGCTTTTACTCCAAAGACGAACCTGTCGATCAATAATTAAACTACGAAATCTTGAAAAATTATCCAAACATCCTATGTTATTGCTAATTTTGGTAACTTCAATACAGGGTCAAAAGGGTTACTGCAAGACTGAAATACGTCTTCTTGTCCTGAAATCTGACTCATGAAGTCTCTTCCTTACTGTTTGGTAACTGATAACCATTCATGTTGATGTCCTATAGCTCATATTGGGTTGTTGGTCACTGGACTGGTTATTACCTTGGCAAGGTATAGGCCAATTATGTGAAGCATGCTCAAGCTTCCATTGCTATGACTTGTCTCCGTTTTTGTTTACCATCTAAACTTTACACAGCTCTAATGACCCCCTTTCACTGCCAGTCATTAATTACTGTCATTACAGGTCAGTTAATTGTTAATTGCCGAAACTACAACACATCACGACGAGACACATGAAACCTACACATAGCTAAAGACATACCTAATTTTAGGATTACATACAAGTGTAATTTTTGAGACTGTATTAAGTATTTGCTCAAATTAATATTTTGGAATGACGTAAGTAATTACTATGCATTTTGAAGAGATTCACCATTAGTGTTGTGCTTGATCATGTCTCAGTGTTATAAACAAAACACTGTACGCAAATAAATGTAATATTCCCACCCAAAGCTATTTTAAAAACTTTATGTATGTTTGATAATTAAGTAGATTCCTCTTGAAAAAAACAGTATTGTTTATAATAATTGTAAGTAAAGCGCTTCTATTTTACATAAATCTTGTTAGTATTATAAAGTGTTTTATGCATTCCAAAGCAACTTGTATCTAAATGAGAATTTTCAGATGTTTTTCTGTCAGATATTACTCAGTATAAGGTTATGCTCTGAGTGTAGAAACATGTGCTGTTATGTAAGGCTGCGCTCTGAGTGTGGAAAGTTGTGATGTTTGTAATACAATCCAATAAACACATATTTGATAATTTTAAATGACTTTTGAAAACGTTTTAAACTTGTGTGAGTGTGTTTAACAGCATTTATTAAGTTAATGCGTTTGGTTCTACTTTAAACACTATATATACATCTTAATATAAATGTTTCACATTGTATTATTCCATACAGTTACAAAAGACAGCGTTTTAAGTATACATTTTGAATCAGTGTTACACAGTTCTTTAGACTCTCATTTTCAATAAGTTTTTGAATCCGTTTTATTTCACCATATACTAACCTAAATTAAACGAGGCAAGTGAATAATGTTATGACATTACGTCGAATTCGTTATTCGATATTATATCTTTATTTTCTTTTTCACCAAAGGTGAAATTGGAAAGAGAACCTGTGATGTAGAGACCAATTTCGCCTCTGGTGAAAAAGAAATGAAATCTTTAAAATATATAGACTCATTTTGTTGCAGTGTTTCACTAGTTAAAATTTTCGTTTGAAATTGATATAAATAATGATCACAAAATGGTGCATTCAAGAATGTACATTCTACCAAGTTTTGAAACATAAACTTACGGAGAGATTGGAAGAAATGCAATCGGACCAATCAACGTAAAGGCCACAACTAGTATAAGAGATCCAATGCATTGAAGAATGTATTCCAGTTTCTGTTGAAATAACGGACATAATGAAAGTGTGTGGTTATTTTTCAGAATACAGAAAAAACCTCTAAAATCAATATGATATTGAAATTTTTTTCTATATTTTGATAAGCAAATATTCATATTATCATTATATATTTCATTCTTTAGAATCTCGTGACTTAGTGAAGATGCCTACCGTGTTTAAAACACTTAATTGTGAATGATTAACAAAATTAGATAGTACCAATATTTGAAAAATGAATTTAAAAATAATTGTAAACTATAGTCTGAGTTGTACTCATTTTGTCAGCTAAGGCTAGAAACTGTGCGTTAGACTACAGTCATTTTTATAACACAATATCCAGATAAACTTTAAACCTATTAGAAAACTAACTCAAATGTAAGATGAAATAATGTACAAATTTTAATGTCGTACGGTATATCTTCAGATGTGGGATTCCTTAAGCATGTGGATTTTACATCTGTACAGAGCCAAGAAAATATACAGTTTTTTTAGCCATGCAATATACTTCTTAATCTGTTTTGTTTTTATTTTATAGGCGTTCGAAAGAGGACGAACAACTGAATAAAGTGCGACAGGGTCAAATTTATACATAAAACACAGTTTTAGAATTTTAAAAAACAGAACAGACAATATTTTCTTTAAAAAAAAGACACCAAAGTAACTGTTTGTTTTTAATTGCAAGTGTTAAGGGAAAATCATTTCCACAAATATTTATATTTGAAACAGAAAACGGTCCAATGTATCCATTTCTGAAATATTTTTGAATTAGCAATAGCTACTAATGCTGTTTAAGTGTACATGGAACTTACCCATTTATCTGCTAATTTTCCAGCAACTGGGGAACTGAAGGAGTAGGACAAGAATAAACAGAGATAGATACAACCAATTTCCAAGGGATGCAGAGAAAACTAAAAAGAAAAGATGTAACTAATTAATTATACAGAAGGAAAGAAAACCTTGCATGATCAGGGCACATATGTTCGTTTATTTATACATTTCTGATTAATATTAACAAAATTATTGAAATGACAAGTGAAAACTGTCTTTCACAACTTAGATAACTGTTAACGGCAAGTAATAATTGTGATGTAATTTAATTATTATTTCTCGTAGGTAAATAAATCGATATTTGAAATAATTTTTATCTCATAGAAGACAAAGAAGATTGTTGTTTCATCACCTGCTTCAAATGGTCGCTAAGAGTAATTAAAATAAAAGCATCAGCCACGACGTTCAAGGTTACACACATCATGGCGAGAATGGTTGCTGGTAACTTCAGGATGCGCATATATTCTCGAACTGTCAGAGAAGCGGAATTCTCTCCAGACTGACTATCTGTGGAAAAAACAACAAAAAAACGTGATGATAAGTATCCAATTTGTTTTATAGGATGCACATATATATTATCGAAATGTTACACCATTGGACTTCTCTCCATAATGAATATCTGTAAAAAGAAAACGTGATGCTTCTCATCCAGGTTTGTTATATAATTGTATTTTACTTCACATGTGATGTATAAATAATCCTAACAACATATTATAATCATGCATTGAGTTCCATGTTCTTGGATTATTTTTTTTTATTATTTGTTAACCATAAATTTGTTAAAGTTAAAATGTTTTATCCGTTTTTAATTAGTACATGTAGGAAAAAGAAACAGTCATTTTAGTACAAAATGAACAACATAGACAAGTATTAGTTGCGTATCTTTATGAATAATGAGTTATATATTAATAACACATTTTATAATATCAGTTCAGCGATTTTCCGGGTTTTACTCACCGTGGTCTGTGCTAACAGTCCACACAGCAACACTTGATGTGAGAATAATTAATGTTCCAAAAACTGTAAAGGGTGTATGATATCCTCCTATCTAGAAAAAAAAGTTATGTTTAAAAGTGATCTTAACTTCAAGCTAATGCACTTTCGTTCGTTAAACCTGATTATCAGAATACATAAAATAAGCACTAATACGACATTATCACCATATTGTAAATGTACTAACATGTGTATTATGAATAAAAAATACTTCTCCTTTGTTGAAAAAGAATAAAAACCCACATAAATGGTTTTTATTTAAAGGATACCCAAACTTAATGCTTCGTTTACCAACAAATTACTTTCTCTGTGCAAAGCTAAACAATAAGCTATCTGCACCCTGTCCACCAAGGATAATCGAACTTCGGATTTTAGCGTTGTAAGTTCTTTCAAAAGGATACACATAATTAACTAGCATTTGTGTTGGTAGTTTTAGTTCTAAGTTCTTTCTAAAGTTGTACAGAATACGGCAACTGGTAATGAATTGATGAAATAATACTAAATGTATGGAAATTAGAAGTAATAAAGTTGCTGCAGATATTTTTGTCACCTTATTAACAGTCTTTTTTCTTCTGATTTACACGCCGAACACTGTTCTACACGAAAGAAAACACTACCTCCAAAGCTCCTTTAAAGTAAATATAGCACGACGAATTATACGGTTTATGAACTCCAACTACGACCTCGTAATAAACGTTTCTTGCAATGCTTCAAGAAGAGAACATTTGAAGAAACGCCAGATAATAATCCGTAGTTTTACATGACTAACGACTTTTTTGTTCTAGTTTGTGCTTCTACTATTTTGTTTATATCGTGTGCGTGAACGTAATTTAGCAATTATGCTTGATTTTTAAACAACGTACACCCACAAAGATCATGTACTTATTATGATGGTGCTAAGAATATTGTTAATGACTGATTTGATGTAGAAATTTTTAATACATACACAGAACTGGGAAGATTCTTTGTGGTGAAACGGAAACAATATTGATTAAATGTTTCAAGATTCAATGTTCATGAAACACATTTCCGTGAATTTATGCAAACCATCAAGTGATCTGCTTTGACAGAAGTAAAAATAAATAAAAAATCCGGATCTAGAAGTAAACGAATAATAATGCAAATGTTTATTCAAAAAGTTAGATTTCAAACATGCACAAGAACTTATTCGTGTGTAAATAATTATCAACTTAAATGGTTTAATAGTGGTGAGCTAAACTTGGGAAAAACGAATACTTAATACAGCAACACAAGTATGTTGGTCAGTTAGTGGGTAAATCAGACAGTACGTTAGTTAGTCAGTAAGTTAGTTATCATTAAAAAACGCAACCGTTGGAATTGAAAGTTTTCTTTATAATGTTAAGTATAAATCAGTCTTCTTAAATCCTGTTTCCATTGATGTTTAGTTTCGTTAATGGAGCGGATATTCATAAGACCAGAGGTCCTGAAGTCATAATCAACAAGTTTATAACATATCTGGACAGGTTTTAACTACTAGTCTGTGTGATTTATAAAGATTGCTTAGTAATTAGGTATTACCCAAATGTTTGGAAGATAGTTAAAGTAATTCCTGTATTTAAATCAGATTTTTCACATGATACAGTGTTTTCTTATTCTTCAAGAATTTTTGAAAAGATAATTTATACCAGATAGCTAATGCTGTTTTAAAATCATGTCAATTCGGCTTTCGTAAAATCATCTATTGTTCTTACAGTGTCAGTTAGAGATTTATGATACACTACTAGAATCCTTAGATTCTGGTAGCGTGTTATAATTAACACTTGAGACCGTCGGTACTTGGTGAAACTCCATAATTACAGAATTGAGGAAAACAAGGACAATTGTACGTTTCAATAATATCTTATTTATTAATACATTACAGGATAAACCATGGTAGTAAAAAATGAAATATTTGTGAAAGGTACAATTGTTTCCTTTAGTTCTGGTATTGTGTCTTTTGAGACCTATCAAAGGCCTTCGATACTGTACAACAACATGACACATTCTGGATAAACTAGATTGTTTGTTTGTTGTTAACCGGAAACCCGTACAATAAGCTATATATACTCTGCCCACTGCGGTTATCGAAACCCGATTTTTAGTGTCATAAGCCTTCATTCAGACTTACACCTACCTGAGGATAAATTTTATCATTGTGGTATACAAGGTATAGCTTTGGCCATTTTGGAAATTATCTATCTGAGAAAGAACAATATAATTAATTCATAATTTGCAACTTTATAGTTTAAATATTGTTAC